GCCCAACTCCTCCCCCCCTCTTCCTTCCATCCAGGCATTCAGCCACAGGCCAACTGTGGGTCAAGTACAACGGCTCATTCGAGGGGCCAAGCAGGTGGCCCTGGCCTACATTTGGCCCTAGGGAGCTTCTTGTTTTCTCCTAAACTTCCAAGAATCTCCATTCCCAGATGAAGCATGCTGTCAGATCTTGGCAGATGACAAAACCTGTCCTCCTTTCCCTCTTCTGCCTGAGACTAAACCTCTCTTTCCTCTGATGTACAATATAGAAGATCCTGCTAGGATCTGGACCAGGAAGGCTTGAGGGTCAACTAGAGGGCAGTTCTCTGTGCAAAGAGGAAAATACTCAGCTTCTGAATCTCCAAACTAGCATGTTAATATTCCTGAGGTAGTCCACCTCTCTATCCCTGATCCTTTGGTCTTTGGATCTGCATATTCTGGGGAGAAAAGCCTATGCCAGAATGTGAAGGCACTTCTTAGCAGCCTGGATGTGGCAAAGAAATATTCAAATTAGCAGCCAACCTAGCATTAAAGACTCAAAAGACAGATTTCTAAGCTGGTTCAGGGAAGAAAGGTCTAGGTCCCCTCTTCCAAGTCCCTTTTATGGAGTGGCACATATCTGTAATCCCAGCAATTTGGGAGGCTGAGGCAGGAGGATCACAAGTTCAATGCCAGCCTCAACAGCGTAGTGAACTCCATCTCAAAATAAAAAAAAAATTAAAAGGGCTGAGATATATCTCAGTGGTAAAATGCCCCTGGGTTCAATCCCAGTATGAAAAAAAGAAAACAGAAAAAAAAGGAAGCCCAACTCTCTGACTCCTAAGCTCAGTGCTATCCTACTCCCAACCCTTCTTGGTAAAGACATAGTGATCATGAGTGGATCCTGTTTCTTTCCTGCAGAAACTGGAACCATGTGCATATCCGGTGGGTTATCCCAGAAGGTAACTCCCATGTACCCTCATCCTTCAGGGGAAAAGGGAGAGCAGGGTGTGGCTGGAAATTCCACTTTCGAGGAATAGGACTATTAGGTGAAACTAAGCCTCTTAGCCACTGTGTGGCACCATTTACCCACTTTTCTATGTACAGTTAATGGCTGTGTGCAAAGCAAACTCAATTTATGCAAACTTTTCAGGGATCTGGTTCTGACTTGGTTAACAATTGGATGAGGGTGTTTGGGCAAATCTTGTACCTTCTATGAGCCTTCGTTTCTCATTTTGTGAAATAGGAGGCAGATGAGGGTCACTCAAGTCCCTTCCAGCTTCATAATTCTGCAAGTATGTGAGTATACTCCCAGTGGTCATCTGAATGATGCAATTTTGTGCCTTGGGGCCACACAGGGTGAGTACAGAAAAAAGCACAAAGGCCAGGGTATGTGTAGAGCTAAGATGAAGAGGGGCATCAGGGAAGCAGGAGGGCTTGGCAACACATGAACCTGGATTTCTCCTGAGCCTTCCATGGTGCCAAGAAAAAGATGAGGGTGCCATTCATTTGCTGAGTAAACACTAACTGACCACGAACTTGGTGCCAGGCACTGTGTGATGGAAGTGAAGTTGGGGTATAGGTGGGAGTGGAGTGGATGTTGGGTGGGACAGTAAGGCGAATAAACCCCCAAAGTGTTTACCAGCCAGTGGGGAAGTAGATAAGTAAACAAACAACCAGCACACAAGAGAGAATGGAGCCTCTACTAAAGAGAAACACAAACTGCTGGATGTGGGGAGGTAGGAAGGATAAATTCTGACCAGATAAGGAAGATTTCACAGAGAAGGAACCATTTTAACTTGAGTTTTAAAAGATGAACAGATGTCTATGAGGAAGGGGTTAGACAGAGGAAGATAAGGAGGGAGAGGGAAAGGCAGATATTCTGGAAGATGGGAAATAGGTATATTTATGTTGTTTTGGGAAAATAGGGACTAGTCTGAGGTGCATGGATGGAATGGAAGAAGAGTTTGCAAAAATGGTTTGGAGCCAGATTCTGAGTTTATGGAGCCCTTTTCACATGCCTAGTTATTTTCAGAGTGTAAAGGACAGGCTTCCAAGATGTGCACAGTTTCAGTCCTTAGGGAAGGCAAGACCTATTCTCTCATGCATACATAAAGGTACAAAAAATTAAACTGAATGGGGCAGGCAAGCCTGATTGGAAACATGGCACACATCAAAAGAAGTAAGAGCCTGGAAGGGCACCATGAGGGAAAGTACTCTTCCTGTAGCACGTATTCCACTCTCCTACTCTCTTCTGAAACTCAGATGGTAGAAACTTAGAAGACCTGACCTATAAGGAACAGGAAGAGGCCCTGTTTTAAGGAAGGGAGAGCCATCCTAGGAGACCTGGAAAACTTCCCATTCAGTGACTACATTTGCAGGACTCCATCTCTAGTTTGTTTTCCAATTAGACCTTATCAACCAGGGACAAATAGCGAAAAGCCTGAGGCATCACAGGAGCTAATATCTATGCTATTAGGATAATAAACTAGGTGGGATTTAGGTTAGACTTAAGGAAGGAAGAAGTCTGTGTTCTGAGAAGTTCAGGAGTTCTGTAACCATGAGAGATTAGAATGTGTTTCTTCGATAGCTGATGAGTGACCACTTAATGCCAAGCACATTGCTGGAGGAAGGAGTGTAGTGAGGGAGGTTGTACCTTGTTCCACCCTTTGGGAACTCACAGTTAAGATGGGTATACTATACAGAATAATTCTCCCACAAAGATGGTCACATCCTTAATCTCCATGAGTTATGGGTATACTATATTCCATGGAAAAGTGAAATAAACATTTCAGATGGAATTAAGGCTGCTAATCAGATGACCATAAATACAAAATGATCCTTAATTATCCAGGTAGGTTCAATATCATCACGAGTCCTAAAAATTGGGAGAAGGCAGCAGGAATGGCAATCAGAGGTGTAACAAGGATTTACCCTTATGTTGCTGACTTTTAAAATACAGAAATGGGGGGCTGGGGTTGTGGCTCAGAGGTAGAGTGCTTGCCTGGCACGCATGAGGCACTGGGTTCGATCCTCAGCACCACATAAAAAGAAAATAAAGATATTGGGTCCACCTACAAGTAAAAAATAATTTAAAAAATACGGGAAGGGGCCACAAGCCAAATGATGCAAGCAGCCTGTAGAAGCTGGAAAAGGCCAAGAAAGAGCTTTTTATCCTAGACCCTCTATAGAGCCTCCAGAAAAGAATAGAGCCTTGCCAACAACTTGCTTTTAGCCCAGTGAGACCTGTGTTAGATGTCTAAGGACCCCGAAAAATAAATAAATGAGTAAATTCATGTTATTTTCAGCAACTAATGGTGTGGCTTATTTTTTGTTTGTTTGTTGGTTGGTTTTTTGAGGGATTGAATACAGGACCTCTCATGTGCCAGACAAGTGCTCTTCCACTGAGCTATATATCCCCAGCCTTTTTTATTGAGACAGGGTGTCACTATATTGCCAGGACTGGCCTCAAACTTGTGATCCTTCTGCATCATGAGTAGCTGGGATTATAAGCATGTGTCACCACACCCAGCTGTTTGTGACAATTTGTAACAGCAACAGTTAGAAAACTAATATAATGTACACATACATAATAATATTCTAGCATGAAAAGTGTTCTAAGAGAAAAAGAAAAAAGAAAGCATGTTGTGAGAATGCAGAGGGCCAGGAGCAGTGGCAAATTCAGGTAGTCCTAGCAACTTTGGAGGCTGAGGCCGGAGAATCACTAGTTCAAGGCTAGCCTCAGCAATTTAGTAAGACCTTATCTCAAAATTAAAAAAATAAATAAATAAAAGGAACTGGGGATGTAGCTCAGTGGTAATGCACCCCTGGGTTCAATTCCTAGGAGAGAGAGAGAGAGAGAGAGAGAGAGAGAGAGAATGAGAATGAGAGAGAGAGAATATGCAGAAGACAGGAACCTGTCTTAGAGGGAATGAATCAAGGAAAGTTACCCAAAATAGTTGACAATAAGATGGATATGGAAGAAAAAGCAGTTTTTAGCAGCTGCAGGAGATGAGACACTGTCTTGAAGACAGAGACACTGTGTACAAAAGTACCAGGCATGAAAGAGGCTGGCAGATTTAGAGAATCAAGAAGCAAAAATGGACTGGAAAAGAGGATGGGCAGTATGTATGGAGAGAAGGGGGCTTACAGGGGTGACAGAGAAAACTGCTGCCTCTACCTTCTCCAATCTGAAAGTGCAAATTGCCCAAGTTATTGTCTGCCTTTCTTAACTGACTTAAGAACTTAACTCTGTAGAGCCAAAGCTTGTCACAGCAAAACTCAGAGGCCCCTGGTACCACTACCCCTTTCCCCATTCTAGCCATAACGTCCACTAAGGGGACCATGCTCTTCCACCAGCTCCACAGCAAGGCAGTGACCAAGAAGGAAGAGACAAGAGCCTGATTGCATGTCTTGAAACTCTCAGTCCATCTGGGGCCTGACTCTAAGGGAATGGGCTGAAAAGGAAGAAGAGAGGAGGGTGTTGTTTTGTGGTAGAAATCTTCATTCCTCATAGAAATTTCTGGAGAGGCATGGGGGCTGGGCCAGGGGGTGGAGGTAGGAACTATCTTGGAATTTAGAATCATCTGGGTGCTCCATTGGCAAACTCTCTGTAGCAAAATATGAAACTGACTCAATCCTGGGGAGGGGTCCAGGAGGCAGGGGTGAGGCAGGATAGCAAGAGGAGGGGATGTGGTTTGTCTCCCCTTAAAGGGGTTTGGGACAAAGAGGCTTCTCTCTTGTTCCTCTAACCTTCCTCTTCTTCCATCCCTACCCCCATCCTTGGCACCAGGGCCTCTGGAGCAAAGGGAAGAAAAATGAGTGGGCAGAAACAGCTGGATGCAGCCAGGAGCACATCTGGCCTCCCTGGGCCTCATTCCCCCTTCCCCCAACACTCTTTCCTCCTTTTCAGGTTTCTGATGGGGGTCTATAGTGGAGCTGGGGGGGAGGGTGGGAAATTACAGCGAGGCTGGGTGGAGGTGGGGTTGGGGCGGGGGAGAATGTTGTTCTAAATATTAGCTGGGCTTGTGAGGTGGCCTCTTGGCTGGAGCCTGACCACCTAACTTCCTGTTTTTCCTACAGCTGCCTCCTCCCCTCCCTCTTCTCTGGGCTGGAACTGAGCCGGGGAGGAAGGAGGAGCAGCAGAGTTGGCCAGGGTCGCTTTTCTGATTCCCTGCAGGCTGGGGGCCAGGACGGCCTCCCTAAGCAAGCAGGCGGAGGCACATATAGCCCTAGGTCCCGTCGTTGAATCTCAGCACTTGCTCCTCTGGCCACAGCAGGAACAAGAGGCTCCTGGAAAGCCCCAACTTCTCACCAGCTCTTCCATGAGCACACCCTGGTCCCAGGGCCTGAGATTTCTCCATGCAGGAGCAGCCAGAAACTCCAGAGGCGGCGGCAACGCCGGACACACCACCCGCCCAACTGCCTCCAGCCCCACCGCCCAGCCAGCTGCTGGTCCCTTCTCTGCCAGTGTTCGTGGACCACGCAAAACAACCAAGTGAGTGAGCAGGGACTGGCTGGGTGGGGGAGTGGGGTTTCTTGGCTGGGGGTGTCTTCCTGTGCTCCTTTTTTTGCCCTCAGGGACAAACATGGGAGACAGGCAGGCTGTCTGTCAGGGTTCGGGGACACTGAAATGTTGGTCTGAGTAGGTGTTTTGACAACTCCTGGTTTGCCCTTCTGTGCTCCTCTTGCCCTCTCTCTCTCTCCTCCACCCCTCCACTCTGTTTTTATCCCTCTCTCTTCCCAGGCAAGGAACTCATTAAGCCCAAAGCAATTTTAGGGCGCCCAGTAGAGAGACCTGCAGAGGCTGCTGCTGCTGCTGCGGAGGCTGCTGGTGCTGCTGCTGAAGAGTGCCCGGCATTGGGCACCAGGGGAGTTGGAGTCAAAAACCATCGCTGTCAGGTCTGCCGGCCCCCTAGCCAGTTCCTCAAGTCAGGCACTTCCTACTCCCTGTGGAGACCTAGGGATCTCTAAGGCCCTCCAGTTTCCCCTGCCACCTCCATCTTCATTCCTCATTCCTGGTACTTAGCCTCCCTTTGTGGCTTCTCTTTTTATTCACTTCTCCAACCAACCCCATCTCACCCTACCCACTCCCTAATTTTCAAGGTGATATTAGAGGATTAAGAGAGGCCCCTATCCCTATCTTGATCGGTTAGTCTGCAATTGCCTGTCTGTGACTTACCCTGCTGTATACGGTGGCACAATTGTTCTCTCAGAGCCACCAGGAGTCTCCCAAGACCCCTGACTGACATCTGTTTCCAGGCTAGGCTGGTTTTTCTCCTGGAACTGCTAGGCCCAGGAGAGACTCTGGCTAGTCACTGTGACTACACCTGAGAGTTTGCTGTCCTCCTGTTTCTTGAAGACCCAGGAGGATCTTGGGCAACCTCTCGTGGGTCCCTGGGCTGCCACATCACTTTTGTGGCCCTCAGCCCCCTCCCTGCCCTGGCCAAGCCAAGGAAGGGAGAGGAAGGCAGGAGGACCCTGTCCTAACCCCTGTCATCCCTCCTCTTGCCAGCGGATCCGAGCCAGCCGAGAAGCAGGCTCACGGTTTGCCATGGAGGGCTTGGATGATAAACTGATCCTGAACGTGGGGGGCATGCGCCACGAGACCTACATCAGCACCGTGCGGGCCTTCCCAGGCACCCGCCTCTACAAGCTGACCGAGCCACCCCCGCCTGGCAGTCCAGCTGCTCAGGGTCCACCGGTCCGAGAGTTTTTCTTTGACCGTAATCCTGAGCTCTTTAGCTATGTGCTGGGCTACTACCGTACTAGGCAGCTGCACTGCCCCAATGACGTTTGTCGGGATGTCCTAGAGGAGGAGCTGGCTTATTGGGGCCTGGCGGAAGCGCCTTTGGCACCTTGCTGCTGGCTCAAGCTAAGTGGCAGGGAGACCCGGACCCAGGACTTCCTCTCCTGGGAGGCCTGTGAGAACGCCCACCTAGATGAACGTCTTCTGCTGAACCCCATGGAAGGCCAGGGACTGCGGAATGCTTGGAAGCCATGGCTCTGGGTGCTTCTTGATCAACCCCAGTCTTCCCTAGGAGCAAAGGTAACTCATTAACAATGTGTAGCACCTTGTTATACACTTTTATCTATGAAGGGCCTGGCCCTGCCAAGTTGCCACAATAACTATGCACTTGGCATGGTGCTTGGTGCCCAAATCTATAACCCCCCCACAGGAAAACTTGAGGGGTTTTCCTTAAAATGGAGGGGGGAAAGGGTGGAAGTGTCAGTAGGGAGGTGGGGATGACTGGTAAATGAGGTTTCTGACATTCATCTTTTTTTCCCAGTGCCTTTCCCTGATCTCCACACTCTTTGCTGTGTGTGCCCTGGTCATCTTCTTCCAGGAGACAGAGGTTCAGCTGGATTACTTCTCTGCCAACTTCACTCCTATGGGACATGGGGCGGGGGTGGGGGGAAACCAGCAGCAGCAGCAGCAGCAGCAAAACAATGGTCTTGTTTATCGCCGTGCCCCCCACCTGCTCTACCTGGAATTACTCTGTGCCCTTTGGTTTGGAACTGAGCTTTTTGCACGAGCCATTTCCTGCCCTGATAAGGTGCGCTTCCTGTGTAGCCCCCTCAACCTGGCTGACATCTTCTGTTTGTTCCCTGTGCTGGTGGAATTAGTGGTGGGTGACAAGGCTGAACGGCAGCCTCGCCTTAGCCTCACCCTTGGGGCCATTCGTTCTCTCTATGTCCTCAAGCTGGTTCGTCTCCTGGGCTTTCTTGAAAAGTCCCTGGCCCTGAGAGTCCTGGTTCATACTCTCCATTCCTCCTGGAAAGAGGTGTGTGCCTTTCTCCTGATTTGGGTGGCTGAAATTTTATTCTTTGGCTCACTCTTCCTCTATGGGGAGCTTTTGGGCATGTCAACCCCAGGACAGAGTGAGCTCCACTTTGGAGACATCTTTACCTGTCTCTGGTGGACTGTCATAACTCTCACCACTGTCGGCTATGGAGACGTCTACCCACTCTCTGCTATGGGCCAGCTCACTGCTGCTGTCACAGCCACCGTGGGCATGTGCACTGGTGTCTTGCTGGTGCCTGTGCTCCTGGTCCGCTTCCAGCGCTATTATGCTGTAGCCCTGGCTCGCCAGAAACTAAGGCCCAGTGGGATCCTATAATAGGCCCATTGGTCAAGAGGGGTGGAGCCCACCTTCCTGTACTTCCTCTTGCCAGTTTTTGGTTACAGATTAGGATTTCTGGCTTTGGATTTGGCAAAGAATCCTTCAGGAGCAGCCCCAGGTCATGGCAATTCCTGCTAGTCAGGAGCAGATAAATATCACCTATAGGTCAGACTCCTCATCCTCATCAAGGGAAGAAGGAGCTTAGGGACAAGGCTAGTTACTTCTTACATTCCCCTGCCCCACCCTAGGCCCTTCTCTGAATACCAGAATGACCAGGAAGAATATAGTTCTTCCTGGATTGGTGCTATATCCCTCTCTCAACTAGATCTCCCTTCACATTCACTCATCCCTTGCTGCCCAACTGGACCCTAGTCTAGATGGGAGACTTTTGCATGATGGTAGCCATAGTATATCAAGATTGGTTGCCCATGTCAATGGTGATTGGCTGTGGGTATCAATGATAATTGTCTGTGAATATCTGACAGCAACTGGTTATGGGTATTGATGACAATTTGTACTTTCAGTGCCCAGGAATAGCCAGATTGTAGCATTGCTCTCTCCGTACTGCTCCTGGGACAAATGTTCCTTAGAGGCAGAAGGAGGCCTTTGAAGAGTCTCAGAGACTCCAATCAGATGCGGGTCAGCCACGTCTGGACCCGAAGCACTCTTAAGTCCATAACCTCCTCATCCCATTATATCCTTGCCCAATTCTGCCTCATCCCCTCTTCTCCCCATCTTTGATTTTTTTCATAATATTTTAGATTTAGTATTAGCCATCATTAATCAAAATATATTAGTCAATATTAACCACAGTATCTCAGTCATGATAACAGTATGTAGTCACTAATAGACATAAAATGTTATCATTGCATATTGTTTGGACAGGAATGAGGAAACTGGGATTGTGGACAAGAGTACACAAACAATTTCCTCTTCCATATTTTTTTTCTTTTTTTTTTTTAATTTTACTCCTTTACAATTCTTTTTTTTCTTCCAAATACTTTTCAGTACCCACAACGGGTCTACCTCCAATCCTCGCTGCTATTGAATATTCCCACCTTCCAACCTCTTCCTCTTTTTTTTTTTTTTTTTTTTTTTTTTTTTTTTTACCTGTGTGCTCTTCCCTCCTGGCTTTCCCATGGTGTTCCCCACCATGCACCTCTCTTGGAACTGGCTTCCAGGAGGGACAGAAGGGACCTACTCAGGTCTAACTTCAAATCAAGCCACTGGGTTGTCTGAACAAGTAACCCAGGCAACTAGGCAGAGCCGGGAGGTTGAATTGAGCCCTCACTGTTGCTGAAGCTGTGAGCATAATTCTGTTTACAAAACTTTTAAATAAAATATCCTTTGATATCTCTATTCCATGGTTGTCTGTGCTTTTTCTGGGGGAGGCATGCGGGTATCAGCAGGGGTAGAGTGGTACAATAAATGACAAGAACATTTAGGCAAATTATTTGATAGGGTAAAAAGCAGTTTGCTGGGCTGGGCTGGGCACTTACCTAGCATGTGTGAGGCACTGGGTTCAATCTTCAGCACTACATAAAACAAATAAATATAATAAAGGTCTATCAACAACTAAAAAATATTTTTAAAAAAATCAGTTTGCTGCCTTCCATGTGTCTGGTCCTTACAATAAACTATTATTAGTCACAGATACCTTGACTGGGAGAGGAAAAACTTTTTGTTTGTATTAGGAACAGGTTGGGGAAGGGAAGAAAACAGGTCCAGGAGTTGAGGAATAGAAGTTTGGATATCTTCTTTAGGGCATGCTTCTAGAAATCCTGGGTACTTATACAAGGTGGGAGGTTGTTAGGGGAGGGGTTTCCATATTAGGAGCACTGAAAGAGAACCAGAATCATGGAAGACCATCAAAGACAATATTTATATTCTTACTGCCTGGAAGTAGAAGATGCTGGAGCAATTTACAGCTTTCAGCGACTGTTCTAGTCCACTACCCTTAAGGTACAGATGGGGAAAAATAAAGTCTAGATATTGAGGTGATTTTTCCCCAAGGGAAAAAGTGACAGAGCTGGGAGTTCTGTGACCTCAGAGAAATTATGCATCAATCTTTATTAACTCACTAGCATCATAGGTGAATGATTAGAATTTGCAATAAAATTAAGCAAGACTGCACCCTGTTTCAGGTAGTGGAAATGGTGGTGGTGGATGAAGGGATGGAATTGAGGCTAGGATGTTACACAGAATCTTGGCAGCTTGAGTGAGAAAAGTGGGATGTTAAAGTAGGGAGAGAAGCGCATTAAATGCCATGGCACACAATAAAAAGAATCATGTAGAATGTCAGGTAGATTCCAGGGAAAAACCTGGAATCTCATCAAGACCAATCCCCTCCTAATTGGGGTGGGGGGGCTGAGGCTCACAGAGAAGCTGGCTTTATATATTGACATGGTTTATATACCGAGTCAGGAGCAGAAATAGAGTTGCAATCACCCTGCCACACAGGAAGTAAGACTATTTCCTGTTATTTTCCCCCTTGCATCTTGCCTGGACAGTCAAGACATTAACTAAAAGGGAAGGGAGAGGACAGCACAAAGATTCATGGCCTGCCTGGTACTTCTATTATGAAACACTATAGAATGACAGCGATGAACAGCTTAGTTTGTGCTTGTTTCTATGACAGAACTCTATATCTGAATCCATCCTGAGCCTCTAGCACATAATGCCCTCAAATCCCCTAGAACTTTAAGGCCTTTTCTGAATACTGAGAATGTCCCAGTATTTTGTCTCTTCTCATGATTAAGTTCTCACTCCAATACTAAAGTCACCTCTTCTCCTTAGTTGTGAATTGCCCTTCTTCTGAGGAGGGCAGGGACAAGATGGGTGTTATAGTTTAGATAAGTGTCTCCCAAAGGCCCAGGTGTTAAAGGCTTGGTCATCAGCCTGTGGTGGAGGAGGTAGTGGAACTTTTAAGAGGTAGGACTTAGTGGAGGAAAGTTAGGTCATTGGAAGCATGTTTTGAAGGGAATTTGGGAACCTCAACCTCTCCTCTCTCCTCTCCCACTTCCTGGCCACCATGAAGTGGGCAACTTATTTGGCCACATGTTCCCACCATGATGTACAGAGCTACCATAGGACTAAAAGAAATGAGCCAAATGACCATAGACTAAAACCGCCAATACTGTGAGCCCAAATTAACTTTCCTCCTTTCTAAATTGATTATCTCAGATATTTTGTCACATCAACTGAACGCTGGGTAAAACAATGGGAATGCTGAAACATACCTTTAATTTGAGTAGATCCTGCCATATGTAAAGAAGAGTTCTTTCCTCACATGTGAAAACTCCTCAGCCATGAGCTAACTTTTTCCCTGAACCATTCTCACAATTCAGTCATACTCCACCCCAAATATTTGTCTTCATCCCCCTTAACCTGCCCACTTTGCCTATGGCAGAGACCCCACTGGTCCTACTGTCCACACAGCCCTGGAAATCCTCCTGTTTCTTGTGTCTGGTGAGAAGGGTCAGATGCCAAGCACATACTTCTCATCTGGATCTCTCTCATTAGGAGAGACTGAAAAGTTTGTGGGCTAACCCCGTCCTATGTCTGGCCCTATCTAGTGAAGCACACAGTTGTCTTCTCTGTCTTCCTCCTGCCTCAGCTCTTTAACAGTTGCCTCAGCGTGTTGTCTACTTCAGCCTGCACTTTCAGCTTAGACCGATAGAGGGCAACCATGGCCAGTTTATGAGAAATTATTTTGGGTGTGGCCTCTCCCTCCCTTCACTTCCTTTTGAGTGCTTGTAACATTCTAGAACCACAAGCTCTCTGCATCAAAGTATGTGTTTAAATAACTTATTTCAGCTCCCCTCGTAATAAAAAGAGAAACTGAGGCCCTGAGAAGGGGTGAAACAGTCTAAATTCAGACAATGATTCACTCTGTGGCAGTTAGGGCGAAAACCCAGATTTCCTGAATCCCAGTTCAAAACTCTTGGCACACACTGCTAAGCATCAAATCCAAATGCCTCTTTTTTATAGTTGTGGAAACTGAGGCCCAGAAAATAAATAGTCTAAGATTATAAAATTGTGACAGAGATAAAACTTGAACCCAGGTCTTCTGAATCCTAGTCCAGGACTGTTGAAACATAACATTAGGCATCTAGTTCATGCTGTCTTTTACAGATGATAAGGGTCAGAGAGGGATTTTCATTTGCTTGAAGTCACAGTAAATTAGTGACAGAAGTATAGACCAAGGCTGGCTGTTAGAACTGGGAATCAACAGAAATTGGGACTCTGATTTCTGGTCTTCCAGATACCCCAATGACTTAGAGACCTCCCCCACTCCAAATCGCAGAATTAAATAGCAGAGGTGGGGGTGAGGTCCTTACTTAAGCCCTTTTGTTGTCAAGAAGCTGGAATATAGGGTACAGTTTGTATATGTGACTGTGTAGTGAGGTGTCTGCCTACCCCTCTTCTGCACCCCCTCCACAGGAAAAAGAAAAAAAGAAACTCTCAACAAAAGGCTCACCTCATTTCTCCCCTTTCAAGGCCTCCCGGCTTTGAGAGTGAGAGGATGACTCATTCGGCGCCCACAGTCGCGCTGCAGAGAACATAATTGCTAGCTGGGACATCACCATAGCACCCAGCCATCACATTTGCAGAGCGCTGTCTTGTTTTTGTCAAAGCTCTTTCCTATCTTTTTTTTTTTTCACTGCTACTTCCCCAAGCCCCAGGGAGCCAGATGAGGCATACACCATTACCCCTTCTTTTATAAAAAAGAAAATGATTTATGGCCAGGGTGGGGGTGAGGGGGCGTTTGAGCAAGTTTAGAAGAGACTGATTAAATCCCTTGATCCTTTGATTTCCAAGTTTCTGGAGTGTTCTGCATAAATACCCAGAGCCCCAGAAGAGGCATCAATGTCCCCCAAGTATCTCCTGGCATTGCTCTCTCTCATCTATTAATCACTTGGCTGGGGCCAGACACTGGGTTGAGATTTAATTGGAGACAAAGGAGACTCAGATTCTGTCCTTAAGTATCACAATCTACATATTGATTAGGTCACCACCACACCCAGTGGCCATCCTCAGTTTTCTCTTCTTCTCTTGGCAAAGGGCAAAGTGACCTAGACAATTTCTTTCAGCTGGTGGCATTGAACCAATTTTATATATATATTTTTTTCAGAGCACTTGATTAAGAGTCAGGATATCAGCATTCTCATTTCAGTTCTTCAATTACTTGACTGTATAGCAATAGATTAGTCCTTTCTTTGTGGACCTAGTTTTGCATCTGCAAAATGATGAGGTGTGCGGAGAAGTAGGAATATAGTTGCTAAGAATCATTGGATTAGATCATTTAGGAGATGAATACCATTTGTGATATGTAGGCAGTGCCCTTTTCTTGGGTGAAAGACTGGAGGGTAGGAGCTAACAGGCTCTGCTATGGGACACTTCTTCCTGCTACCTTCTTCCTTAGCTCTGTGAACCATTCCTCAGAGGCAGAGGACTTGAACTTCTTGAAGACCTCAGAAGGACCCCACTTCTACTTCTGCTTACCAACAATATTCAGGAAGCACCAGAATTATTTTGGATGGGAAGCCATTCAATCAAAGCCATTCAGTCATATTCTAGGGTTGAGGATGGATCAGAGAGATGGAAAAAGAGAAAAGCATAGGGGCTGAGGTTGTAGCTCAGCAGTAGAGCACTCATCTAGCACGTGCAAGGCCCTGGGTTTGATCCTCAGCACCACATGAAAAATAAATAAATAAAATAAATATGTTGTGTCCAGTTATAACTAAAAAATAAATATTAAGATTTTTTTAAAAAGAGAAAAGCATAAATAGGCAGAGAGACAGAGGGGGGAGAGATAAGAGGTCAAGAAGGAAAGACTGTGGGAGGCAAAAAGCTAAAGGACAAAGACAGAAAATAGGAAGAGAAAGAGACAAAACAGGAAGACAGGGACAGAGAGAGGGAGAGATAGAAGAAAGAAGGAAACAGAAATGGGAGAAGGGAAGACAGAGAGTAGGGAGAAGGGGAAAAATTGAGAGGGAGGCAGGGAGAGGGAGAGGGAGAGGGAAGGGGAGAGAGAGACA